AGGGGGCTATGCTCAACCTTTCACTGTATCTATGGGGGCAGCCATGGTTTCCAGCCAGGTTGGGCATGTTTGCCTTTGTACATCTCCATTACATGGAGGGTGGGGGGGATTAGTAGTTTATACCAATAAGATCCCATAGTTTTATACTTCAGTTCAGCCAACAGGAAGTGACAAGAACACGGCATTACTGGCAGGATCAACAGATCTCTTCTGTACTGTTCTCGGCCTGAAAAAGAAATGCAGTCATCACCTCTGAGGATTGTAAGCGGCAGTGCGACATCTTTGTCTTTAAGCTTTTCCTCCCGGCTTCTGGGATGTGTCCCCTCCCTGAGCGAGGCCGCAGGTCTTTAACGTCTATCCCTTGCCAAAGCGTTTGTTTTGGATGGAAAGGGGAAGAATTGGAACTCCTGTCAGGTTTTCGTCATCCGGGTCTCCACTACAGAACTTTTCCTTCACTATTACTCTGACTTCCAGTTTTACCAAAACAGGAAGTGAGGAAAGATCTGCATCGGGGTAAAGGAAATGAAATGCTGATGGCTTCAAGCTTTACCTAAAAGTAACCCCCCCCCCCAACTAATGTTTTTCTGAATCACTCGGTTTAAAGCTTTCCCAAAAAGTACCCCCCCCCCCCAACTAAAGTTTTTCTGAATCACTCGTTCTGACTTTTTTTTTTAATGATTTATTTTGAATGCTAAACTTTGTTTTCATTGATTTTTAGAAAAAGCCGCTGCCCCTGAACCAGTGGAAGCAAAAGCAGGAAATGACATCACTGCTCCACCCAACAAGGAACTTCCTGCCAGTCCTGAGAAGAAAGTTAAGGTGAGACATTTTTGCCTTCCTTTCCCTGCTCCTTGGGCGATAGTCATAACACTGGTTGTCGTCTGTCTCTCCCCCCCCCCAACCTTAACCCCCCCCCATCCTTTCTAATTAGCTTAAAGAATAACTAAAGGTTCCTATAGGACAGTCTAGATCCGTGGTTCTCAATCTGTGTAACCTCAGGACCCACATTTGTCCTCGGTCATCAATAGAATGCAGGGTGTTAGGGTACCGCACGTTCCAGTACGGGCGTACGAGCTGAGATGAATGTCGGCCCAACATGCTTCCCACACCCGAATGCATGGCAGGTGCGATTAACGCATTGTACAAGTGTTACCGGGGCCTCCAAAACACCTACATGCACACTCCCAAAAAGGTCCACCCATTCTCCCTACCTTCCGAGAACTGGGGTCCGGTGTGGGCTGCTGTGTTGTGACGGAGCTCCATCCATATGTGCATTGCTGGTACAGATCCCTGGTGGGCCCTGTAGAGGTGCCGGGAGCCAGAATGTGACGTCACTCCGGTCCAGACACCTCTACAGGACACATGAGGGAGCTGTAAGCAATGCACGTATGGATGGATCTCCCTTGCGGCCATACCCCCTTCCCCCTGTAAGAACTGACAGTGCTGCACTGGGGGGGTAGAGGAGCCTCTGAGTCTTACCTAGAAAAGTGGAAGGCATGCAGCGACCCACCAGTTGAGAGCCAAGGGTCTAGATGACCCCAAATCCAGTTACTATGTGATGTACAAGCCTCCTAAAGTGAGCTGCCTTTCCTGGCAGAGCCAAACCCTCCATTTGTGTCCTCACACGCTCCCCTTCCCAGGCACTGCAGAGTTTCCACATCAGAAGCAGTTCTATCAATCCAGAAAGTAGGAGTGGGTGTGGCCAGATGCTGATTGACAATGCTAATAGCCACTCCCCCTGCATCATCTTCTCATTCCACTGTAGTGTAAGCAGGCAGTGCCTACATGAGGGGGACAACTGTGCTGGAAATTGGAAGCAGTGCAGCATTGTTGTCACCCCATCACAGGAAGTTGCATTGTGACCCTCACTGGCAGGATCAGCAGGTACTTGTGGGGCTTTCAGAGAGTACAATAGGTTCAGATGTATTTATAATTAGGAGAGGAGATGCTTCCACTGCAGGTCCAGGTTCAGCTGGCATGTGATGACTCCGTATGGGGTCAGAGTCTCCAGTGAATTCCTTTTTGTTTTAGATGGAATAGGGAACAGAACCTCAGTCAATTTTAAATTGGGATCTGTGTCTCCGCTAGGTGGTCCAACCCTCTGTATTTGTCCTGGTGACTATGTCTAAAGAGCAATCGCCAATTTTACAGTTGTCACCAGAACAGGAAGTGAGGGTACATCTGCCAGTGGGGGACGCCTGTTCTGGTGACCACTATCCGAAAGGGGATTTCACTCACATTGGAGTGATCTGAAGAAGTGAAGGGAAGTCTGTCCAGTGGGACACAGAGGGCAATAAATGAATTGGAAGGTTCCGTCCTCCTCTGTTCTGTAATATGTCTTACTAATCGTCTTCTATCCTTTGTAACAGGCGACAACGGCAACCCCATCAAGGGCCGCACCATCCACCCCAAAAGGCAAAGTCACCGGTGCCCCCAGTCCCAGGAAACCGCTATCTGCCACCCCCGGCCAGGCCAAAAAGCCAAGCAGCGCTGCACCATCTCTGTCTGCGGGCTCCACCCCCAAACGCCCCCTGGGGGTTACGGTCAGAACTCCGACACCTAAAGAGACGAAGGATGCCAAGCCGAAGGCAAGTATTAGCCCCGCCCCCCCAATGGTTGGAGGGGAGGAGACTTCTATCACACTGAAGGTGACTTATGGCGCCTCCATTACATGTGTTTACAATGCTGGATATTGGAGGTGTGGGAGCTCACATGCATACATACATACATACATACATACATACATACATACATACATACATACATACATACATACATACATACATACATACATACATACATGTTCAATGTTGACTAATGTCCTGTTCTCATGAAGAGATCGAGGCAAACCGCTAAATACACAGATGGAATACATGTATGGGAGCTGTTTTACCTGCCAAAGAAAGTTTTTCTGTCCAGTGCTGATATTTGCACAGCTCTGCCACACACACACACACGCGGCCCAGCTCTGCCACACACACACACGCGGCCCAGCTCTGCCGCACACACACGGCCCAGCTCTGCCGCACACACACGGCCCAGCTCTGCCAGCAGAAGACCTGATTTTTATTAGCTGCAGTTCTGGAATATTTACAGGTCTTGTCCCAGACTGATGAGCTAATCTTAGTCACTGTGCTCTCGCCTCCTATCAGCATGTTCTTTGCTAACACATGAACAATGCAGTACATGCTTGGCCCCTTGTGCTGCTTCTACCTATCCTTGTCTGAGCTCTGCTGTACGGGGAACGGCGAGAAACTGATACCAGGTCAATATATGGCACTATTAATACGGTGCAGAGTTCTGTCCGAATTTTCTGCCTGGTGCTCGGGGAGATTTAGACTAGTAAATCGAAGCTGGTGACAGATCCGTTGCTATAATAGAATGCGCACCTCTCGGGGGGAGGGGGAGGGGTGCACGTCCCTTCCATGCTTTGAGGTTTTTATTTCTTTCCCCCCCCAAAGTTTGCATGAAATCCCAGAACTGTGCTGGCGGCTTCGTCTTCTTCTCCTGAATGGGGCCATCTGGTGTCATTAAAATCGCAGTTCTTTTCCTCTCATCACAAGCTCCAATGAATTGCTCTTCATGCTGGTGACATCAGCGCCGCGCTGCCACTCAATGTTGGATCGATGGAGGTTGGCTCAGCACATCGTGTCGCAGGGCTTCAGCATTTTTATGGAACAAGCAGTGTTGTCAGACCTGTACGAGTTCTTCCCTGCAGGACTATGAAACACCTTCCTCTTTTTGTTGTTGTGGTGGGGGGGTTGTAGTCCACCAAGGGAGAACGTGGTCAGTGCTAACAATACGGCTTGGGATTTCAATGCAGCAAAGACCACGCAGTCCGCTCACTATAGGAAGTTATGGATTTGGGTGTTTCCTGCATTGCTGCATTTGCAGTACAGACGCAGTTCATTACTTGTGGCTTTGCCTCAATCCTTTTTGGGGTCCGGACTTTGCTTGCCACATACTTCTCTAAGGTTGGCATGACGGGCAGCTAGCAAGTGTTCTCAGGAGGTCCCCAGCGATGGCCTATATCCTTCTGCACAGGTTTCCTTTCATCTCTTTGTTCTTTGGCAGAGTTCAGATCTGAGGAGTCCAGAGAAGAGAACTTCGGCCCCTTTGAGCACCACCCCTCGCCCCGCTGCGAGATCCAGTCCTGTCGCTTCCAAACTTGGCGCCACCTCTGCAGCTGGAGGGACAGCTCCAAATAATCACATCTTCATTAAATAGCTTGGCACCTTTTTATAGTGTCGGTCCACCCTGAATTGAACTCCCATTTTAAAGATTGGAGAGGTTTTTATGTCTTAGGACTTTATTGGTGTGTCCCCGAGTTTCCACACCCGCTGTGCCCATTATGAGATGTTCCCACCATCCCTGTGCTGAGTTCCCGGGTCTGTCCCCCGCTGTGCCCATTATGAGGGGCTCCCACCACCCCTGTGCTGAGTTCCCGGGTCTGTCCCCCGCTGTGCCCATTATGAGGGGCTCCCACCACCCCTGTGCTGAGTTCCCGGGTCTGTCCCCCGCTGTGCCCATTATGAGGGGCTCCCACCACCCCTGTGCTGAGTTCCCGGGTCTGTCCCCCGCTGTGCCCATTATGAGGGGCTCCCACCACCCCTGTGCTGAGTTCCCGGGTCTGTCCCCCGCTGTGCCCATTATGAGGGGCTCCCACCACCCCTGTGCTGAGTTCCCGGGTCTGTCCCCCGCTGTGCCCATTATGAGGGGCTCCCACCACCCCTGTGCTGAGTTCCCGGGTCTGTCCCCCGCTGTGCCCATTATGAGGGGCTCCCACCACCCCTGTGCTGAGTTCCCGGGTCTGTCCCCCGCTGTGCCCATTATGAGGGGCTCCCACCACCCCTGTGCTGAGTTCCCGGGTCTGTCCCCCGCTGTGCCCATTATGAGGGGTCCCAACTCTACTTTCATATTAGAGAAAGTTCTGTTTGCTTTTGTAGCTGTTTCTTATGGAAGTACAAGGAGTACACTGGTTCTGTGACGCAGGACGCTCAGGGCTGTTTGCTGTTTCCATGTATCGGATCTTCTTTTCATCCTGAATTCTTCACTTTCAGCTGTTAAAAATGACGCGAAGCCGGCGGACACAAAGAAACCCATCCTGACAAAATCCCCGACCGGTAAGCTCCTAACCTGCACCGTTCTTATTTATAGAAGCCTAGGCATTGGCTGACTTTGCATTGGATTTTCAAGATCTGCGTGTCTGAGGGGTATATTCTAGGGGGGGGGACTCCTTGAAGCTGTAAGGGGGTCCTCATAGACTACTTCCTTTGTGACTTGGTATAGCCTGTTCTCCTATCCCGACACCTCTGCTAGATGGAAGAGTAATGAAGAGGGCTGCTGCGCGCAAACCCGCTGAATCTGTCGTGTCTGGGCAACCTCCATGTTGTGCCGCAGCTGAACTTCCACATTCACCATATTTATTTCCCAGCAAAGCACTGGCTGCACACCAAGGACCTCCGCCTCAAAGCCTGAACAGAGGGGGCAGGTATGGGACACCGGAGAGGGGGGTATAATACCTCTTCTATTACAGGGAACGGAGGGGAGGAGGAGACACAGGACACTGGAGAGGGGGGTATAATACCTCTTCTATTACAGAGAACAGAGGGGAGGTAGGAGACACAGGACACTGGAGAGGGGGGTATAATACCTCTTCTATTACAGAGAACAGAGGGGAGGTAGGAGACACGGGACACTGCAGTGGGGGGTATAATACCTCTTCTCTTGCAGGGTACCCTCCGTTTTAGAACCTGACAGGGTGGCAGGTTTGCAGTGGGTTATATATATGGGGCAGATTAGCCAGATATTAAGCAGGTGAAGTTTTGGGGGGTTTTATCGGTTCGCTATCTTATTGCAGCGCGGTGCCCTAGTGATTAGAAATTCTACATTGCAACACTGGGGTCTGTGGTTTGAAACCCAGGCCAGGACACTGTCTGCATTGATTTTACATGTTCTTGTTTTCATGGGTTTCCTCCCACAGTTTAATCTTTTTTGGGGGGGGGCTCTGGTCTAATGTGACCCTAGTTTATGTATGTGAGATGGGGAACTTCGATGTGTAAGCTCCTTGGCAATGTACAATATGTAGAAGTGATGCATAAATTATCAGTAAATGTAATAATCTCAGCTTTTCGTTAATAAGCACTTAACACTTTGACTATCATTCCAGAGTCAAAGAAGCCCGACGGAGCTGCTCCAACCAGCCCCGGCCCCACCCGTCCTAAAACTACCAGACCCGCTGCTCCAAGACCACTTACTAGACCCAGTGCTTCAGCAGATGCCAAGAAAGTACCCACCACCAGACCCGCCCCTCTGAACAAGCCCATCCCTGCTCCAAAACAGCCGCGTCCAGCCACGGCCCCTGACGTGAAGAACATTCGCTCGAAGATCGGATCCACCGACAACCTGAAGCACCAGCCTGGTGGAGGCAAGGTGAGATCCTGGCCATTTAAATGTGAAGCATCACCCCTGCCATTCCCTCTCATAACTCGGCTGCCGTGTCATAGTATGTGGAGGTGACACACTGGGTATGTTGCATTGTACAGACCGGGTTAAGCTTGTTCTGCTTTGGTCTGTTAAAGACCCAACTGAATGTACAAATAAGTTTGTTGCTCCTGCAGGAAATCCAATAAGCTCCTAATTTCCCGTTTGTCCCGCCTGTTCTTCACTTATCAGCTCCATCAGTTTTCAGCCCTGCCCAGATCACTTCAGTTAACTACAGAGCACCTCGTGTTTATGGGGGGGTTCTGTAGTCCTGTCATAGGCTGACAACACTGCTCCTCCATGTATACAGTATGGCGAGGGATAGTTGTCATCTTAGGACCGGAATAATTGTATGCAGACTTCCTCCATCCAGCTCTCGGAGCACAGACACCTTACTGCAGTGCAGCGTTTCCTGAGATCGGGTCAGGAGAAGATTTTATGACCCTTTCTATATTTTGTTCTCGTATAAAGTGATGGACAAGTTCATGTAGAAATGTCTTGACTTGTTAATGTTGTCTTTTTTTTTTTTTTATATATATATAAATGTCACATTTCCCTCAGCAGGCCAATGTAGAGAACAAACCAGTGCCAGCCAGCACAGCCCGAAAACCAGTGCCCCCCGCTGCCCCTAAACCAGCCGCCAGTAAACCCGCAGACACTAAAGAGGCTGCGCAAAAGCAAAGCAATGGGAAAGTGAGTGTACGCTGAGCCTGTGGTGGCTCCTTCCCTGGTCATCTATTTCAGGAGGAATTTCAAAATGTTAAAGCATTTAAAGGGAAACTCATTTATATGCAATTGCTGCACAAGAAGTTGTGTGGAATTTTATAATGCAATTTTATTAAATGTTTTTTTGGGGGAAAGGGCAGCAGCCGGCAACCCATTTTACAACTTCTAAGCATTGGACAATCAGCGCGCTGTTGAATAGGGTGCCATAGACCTCCAATTATTACACCTCCAATTATTACACCTCCAATTATTACACCTCCAATTATTACACCTCCAATTATTACACCTCCAATTATTACACCTCCAATTATTACACCTCCAATTATTACACCTCCAATTATTACACCTTAGCTCAGTCCCAGTTCCTGCACCTTCACCCCTGAGCAGCCACAATTCCTGCCCCTTCACACCCCCTCAGGGGACCCAATTCCTGCCCCTTCACATCAGACCCAATTCCTGCCCCTTCACACCCCCTCAGGGGACCCAATTCCTGCCCCTTCACATCAGACCCAATTCCTGCACCTTCACACCCCCTCAGGGGACCCAATTCCTGCCCCTTCACACCTCTTCCCATCAGACCCAATTCCTGCACCTTCACACCCCTTTACTTCAGACCCAATTCCTGCCCCTTCAGACCCAATTCCTGCCCCTTCAGACCCATCCCTCAGATCACCCCAATGCCTGCACCTTCACGCCTCAGATCTTTGTGATTGGCAGTCTAGTGAGTGGTCAGACAACCTATGGCAGTGACTCTGTATTTGAAGGAAACTGGGCCCCCTGAGGATCCTCCGTTGGGTCAGTCTGAGCCAACACGCATGACCGTATTCTCAGTGGCACTGAAATTGACATTGATTGCCCGGCCTGGCATGGCTGCCTTGGGTTGCCAATCTCTTGCTTTGTTCTTGAATGCTGTATTTTTGGGCATTGTATGTAAGATGGCAAGCAGCGCTCCGGACTTGCTAGTCAGAAGATGACAACTTGTCACAATGTGACCTTTACTTGGGAGCAAGACGCATCTGTCAAGGCTGCGGCCGATCGGGGCGGCTGTCTGTTACCATTATGTTAGAGCTGGTGCGGGCGCACGTGAATGAACTCCCTGCAGGGGCCGTAATGTTTGATTAGAGACGGGTACTGGATTTCTGATGTCACTTGGAGGGGGAACTGAAAATATTGTTTTCCCTAAATTCTCCCTTTCACTCTTCTCACATGTAAGTGCTGTGCAGGCCTCCAGTCACAGCTCGCTTCATTTACATGTGCCATGCTAAGGCCTTGTGTACAACCCAATCGTAGCTGGGGGTTGTCTGTCCAGCGTGTGCTCATGCCAGGGCTGTAGATGGGCCGGAGCTCTTTCTAGTCCATAGGTGTGTACATATTATGAAACTTAAACCACTTTAGTACATTTGCACACAGGTCTGCTGTTTTTATGCGTTCATAGCTAAAGATCCCGAGTTGTATTGTCAAAGTTCGGTATTTGCATATGAAACTGGTAATACAGGTATGGGTGGAGGCTGCTGGTCCGGGTCATTCAGACTTCTGTGGTCCCCAGCACTCTTACTGGCTTGTGTAGGTGTGAATGGTAAGTGGCTGTGATGATCTCTCACTTACAAATGTGATGATGAGTGTTTATGATCTTCCCTTTATTACGGAGCATATCCCCGACATATATATTACTGCCAGACACATCCCTGGTATAGGGGCCTGTTTGTAAGCATCAGCAGAAGAATTGATTTGTGCATTGCCCATTGAAGCCATACAAGTTAAAACCTTTCATTTAACTATGTTCCTCAATAGCCGCAAAGCATAGAATCCACTGAGTGCGCCAAATGCTTTTGCAAACCCAGATATTACATTTCAGAAGTAGCAGTGATATCACTGTGCTGTACATGGCCTTTTCTGAGAGCAGACCTATGGGAGGGGCCCAGCAAGCTCCACCTACTGCTGGAAACTACAGGAGGATGTGGAGAAGAGACCTGTCGCCCTGCACAAAGAGAGAGAGAGAGAGCAGCAGTGACCGGTCCTTATTAGAGGAGGGGGCGGAGAAGAGACCAGTCACCCTGCGCAAGGAGGAAGAGCAGAAGTGACGGGTCCTTTATTATAGGAGAGGGCGGAGACCAGACCAGTCACCCTGCACAAGGAGAGAGCAGCAGTGACCGGTCTTTATTATAGGAGGGGGTGGAGACGAGACCAGTCGCCCTGCACAAAGAGAGCAGCAGTGACTGGTCTGGTCTCCGCCCCTACTGTAATAAAGACAGGAGAGAGGGCAGCAGTGAGCGGTCCTTATTACAGGAGTAGGGGGCGGAGACAAGACCAGTCACCCTGCACAAAGAGAGAGCAGCAGTGAGCGGTCCTTATTACAGGAGTAGGGGGCGGAGACAAGACCAGTCACCCTGCACAAAGAGAGAGCAGCAGTGACTGGTCTGGTCTCCGCCCCTCCTGTAATAAAGACAGGTCACCCTGCACAAGGAGAGAGGGCAGCAGTGAGCGGTCTTTATTACAGGAAGTCTCACACTGAATTACTGCAGATCTGGAAGACATACACAAAGCTCGCAGAGATTTAGGGAGAATACACAGGACTTGTATTTAGAGAATATTATCTTAGAGTTCGGCTTGAACATGTTTTAATTTTGCAGAAATATTAGAATTTGTTTTGAGGTTTTTCATGTTTTTTTTCCAGAGCAAAGGAGAGTAAGAACAGGGAGATGCAGCATTTGCAGAGTGCAGTCAGCATGTAAAGAATAGACAACTAAATTTCTACTTATGAACAGGGAAAGTTCTACAGACTTCCTCATCCCGGCTCTGCAGCTTACATCACTTCCTGTGTATCAATAAACACCAATCGTCAATATTGTGTCTACAGAGTCTTCGATTTTCACGCGTTGCATTGGCACTTGGGGCCGGCACCTACAGGGGGTGTTTTATTTCAGGTGAACGAACCAAGTCGGGGTGGGGAGGGGGCCCCAAAAAGTTATCAACCATTTCTCAACTTTTAGCAGGCAGCCCCCACCAGTATAGGTCAACTCTGCAAATGAGAGTTCATGGTGTGTTTCTTGGAACCTTTCTGCCATTGTGGTGAGACCTGTGCCCTCCATGCACACAGCACCATTGTACTGATCTATAGGGGATGAATCAAACCAGCAATGTATGCCTGTTAGGGGGTTGCAGTCTAGAGAAAACGTTTTGTGGTAATGTCATTTCAACAGTTGTTTCCCTTCTCTTTGAATCATTAAAATACAGGAATACCTGGTGGTCCTGCCATTGGGGGTCTTTAGTCAAGCACTTCCTGTTATGGAGTGACAACTGTCTCCAAGTTGTTCTCCTGTGTGGTCACCCTGTCGTATGCTCCCCTGATGGAGACTATAAGTGGCTACAGCAACCCAAAAAGCACGGTCAATGAATCAGGATGCTGACCAAGAGCAATGATGTGTAGTGGGCATGTAGACAGGAAGTGGCTGAAAGAAGCTTTTTTTTTTTTTTTTTCTACTGAAGTCCAGATATGAAGAAGCTGAAGAGATTGGAGCTCAGCTGATGTAAGTTGTCACTGAGGTTTGTAGCTCTGCTATTCAGTGATGAGGCGTTTAATCAATACAATGAGGGGATTTTATCAAAACTGGAGCAGCTGTGCACGGCAACCAACCAATCAGCTTCTCTTTAATTTTCAAATCTTAACTGAAGAAACTGAGGAGAGAAGCTGATTGGTTGCCGTGGGCAACTGCTCCGGTTCTTGTCTACTCCAGTTTTGATAAATTCCCTTCATTATGTTTAAAGCGTATGTCAAGCCAAAAACGTTTTTAGTTTTGGAGAGGCGAGGAAGGGTTACGACTGTCCGCACCTTTATTTGAGAGATTTTCACTCGCTTCCTGTCCTGCTGACAAGTTTTGTCAGACAGGAAGTGAAGGAAAATTTGAAAAGGGACATAGACCAAAATACAAATGTGAAAGGGGTTCCGGCCTTCACCCATCTCTGCTGAACAGGCATTTTATTTGTTGCCTTTTGGAGAGTTTCTCTCACTTCCTGTCTGGTAAAATGTTGTGAGCTGGACAGGAAGGAAGGGTAAATCTCTAATGGAGCCCCGGATAGCAGGAAAAACTTGAAATAGGTTCCCAACCTCCCCCACACTATCCAAAATTAAAGGAGAACTGTGAGGTCAGGGCTTTCCCCCATAGTTCTCCTCAGGGTAACGGGAGGACACAAACTAGCGTCCTCCCATCACCCTCAGTATACCGCGAGCTGTAGCTCCCTATATACTGAGACGCCGCAGCTGATCCCGACAATTATGTCTGGATCCGCCCAGCTGCGTGATTGACAGCTGGCTCTGCCTATCTAGAGGCAGAGCCAGCTGTACCCTTCCCCCGTCCGTTCCGCCAGTCAGCGCTGGAGGAGCCAGGAATCCAGCCCCTCCCCCTGTCACGGCAGAGAGCTGTGACAGGATCGAGAGGCGAGCGAACGCCGGTATGTGTTCCCTCACCTCCCGATCTACTGAGCCGACCTGTGACAGTCTCATTGTCACAGGTCGGCTAGGACTATGAGGTGAGTGAGAAGCCCCTCCCCCTCCCTCATAGTTCTCTAAGAAAATCGTTTTGGCTGGACATGCACTTTAAGAAATAATGAGCAAATATTGAATAATGCAAATTACCATTTTAAAAAAAGACAAAAACCTGGTGAACTCTGTGGACTTGTCTTTCTTTCCTCCTGACGATGTAACAAAGTGACTTCCTCCTGTTCATCATTCTGCGTCTCCTAGGAAAGCCGAGATCTGTGTAACCCGCCTTAGATCTCACACGTTAGACGTTCTCCTTTTATCAGTGGCGAGTTAGTACATGGCAGTGGGCTCGGTGCTTCTACATGATGCGTACCACTCCTGTCATTCTCCTGCAAATGAAGCAATTTTGTTTTTGGCTACTGATAACGCAGTTTGATTTTTAAAGAGGACCTGTAGGCAAGCGGAGGGCCGAGTCTCCTGTTTTAGCCTATAGGCTCCTCGTTGCATTACTGATTTTAGCATGCCTTGTTCTGCACGGATTATGTGAAGAGCCCGCCCTCTCAGTAGAGGCAGATCTTTGCTTTCTCATGTCTGATCTGCCGTTAATAACTGGTGGGGTAATGTTAAAAAAGCCGCAGGAGACGTAGAGGACCGCCGGCTGCATAAAGCAAGGGGGGATTTTTGCACTGCAGGTCTTCAGGTACAGCTTCCCCTCCAGCAAGGAGAATAGTGAGCCGCACAAGAACATTCCCTCCACCTGTGAGACTGGCGGTCAGAAGCTGGAGTGCCTTAGATCTCACACGGCAGATAGACAGCAATGAGGCTACAGAACAGGCAGCATGCCTAGGCACAGGAAGGACGTGACGACGGAAGGTACATTTCTCGGGGTACTGCTCGGGCACGGCTTAGTTTTTGCAGGTGTTCCCTATAACTACGAAACTCTTCACATTTTGAGTTCAGCTCCACTAAGTGTCCACCGTGAACAGACTCTTGAATCTGGGTCAATCATTGTCCTATATGGTTCCCATCGATCTGGCCTTGCAGTCCGGTGTTCTGCCAGTGAACAGTCGATGGTTCCTGACTCATACCATACACTGAGTGGCCGGATTATTATGACCCCCCCCCCATCAGTACTTGGTTGGGCCGCCTCGTGGCTCCACGAGATGGTGAAAGGTGATGCGAGGAATCTGACACGGCGCTGTCGCCCTTCTGTTGTCTTGTACCAGTCTTGCCCCTCCCCCGTTCTGTCCTAACATTGACTAGTCGCTGACGGCCACAATTCGCACGCTCAGACCCAGATTTTCGGCTGACAGTCCGGTCTTTAAACACTTTAACAATGAGCTGCTCCTGAACATGTAACAAATTCTGCTGTGTTGCTGATACTCGCTCCATGGCTCCGAGCGCCAACAATCATCCCGCGTTCCAAGGCTGTTACATCGCGTTGTTTCCCCGAATCTTCCCAATCACTTCTACTGTCGTGGTAACCAACCCGCTTCCCTATTTATAATGGTCCGGCCCTCTAGCAACTTCAGCGCCAAATTATAGCTAATTTGCCTACAAACGTCAGGTGGTCATAATAATCCGGCCACTCAGTGTATATAATAATCCGGCCACTCAGTGTATATAATAATCCGGCCACTCGGTGTATATAATAATCCGGCCACTCGGTGTATATAATGATCCCGCCACTCGGTGTAAAGCGGAACTAAACTCCTTCCTTTGCACCATTGCCGGTGCCGAACCCGTCGCCTGGGTTTGGGATCTTCAGCCATCTTGATTGGTTGGGCCAAAATGACCCGACACGCGCACATGGGCACTTGTACGTTCTGGCCCTGAGGTGTGCTGAGCAGCTCGATGTGCGTTCTGAAGGTTGTGACCCGGCAGGCATGCTTGTGTTCTTGCAGAGACGACCTGGGACGTCTCTCCTGCAGTATTATTATTATAGAGGATTTATAGAGCGCCAACAGTGTGCGCAGCGCTTTACAATATAAGGAAGACATTACAATCACAATACAAGACAAGATGGTGAGGAGGGCCCGGCCCCTGAGGGCTTACAATCTAAAAGTAAAGCGTGCGCCTGCTTGCAATTGTTTAAAGGCCAAAGCTGATACACTGAGCTCTCATTGGCTGGTTGTAGCTCCTCCCTCTGCGTTGCTAGATAACGCAGCTGATCCGGTGTGTGTGATGACGGCTCGTGGTAATGACTTGTATGTGTTGTCACAAAACTGTCTGCTTCTCTGTCCCCGTCTGCTTCATGTCACCTTCCTTTCCCGTCATCCTGATAACACTGTCCTCTCCTGTTCTGCGTCATGTGATTTTTCTAACCGGTACCTTTCCACTTCTGTGTCGTTTTCTCCATCCTGTCACGCTCCAGGTCCAGATTGTCTCCAAAAAAGCCAACTACAGCCACGTTCAGTCCAAGTGTGGCTCAAAGGACAATATTAAGCATGTTCCTGGTGGTGGGAATGTAAGTATGGTCTGCGGGGGCTTCTTCGGCTCAGTGTAATCTCCATATTGTGGCCGTTTCTGCATGAACTTACCGTGTCTTGTGTGCTGGTTCCGTGTACTTTCCGCCGGCTTCCGGGAGTCCCGTCGGAGATCCGGTGACGTCACGGACATCGACCCCCTTGCCCAAGTGGCTCCGTCGGCTAATGAAGGGAAGGGGGGAGGAGTCCGGTGACGTCGATGTCCGTGACGGCTAACGAAGGGAAGGCGGAGGAGTCCGGTGACTATGCCCATGACGTCACCAGACTCCTCCCCCCTTCGTTAGCCGACGGAGCCACTTGGGCCTGTGAGTTTGCCCAAGAAACTTTCTGCACAAGAGCCAACCAAGGTGAGATGAATAACGTGCTGGATTAGTGTGATCCTAGTTCATTTTATGACTTCATTGCTGCGCTGTATGTGTATAGGTCATTGCTGTGCCGTATGTGTATAGGCCAATGTAGTTGGATCTGTATGTGCGTTATCGTTAAACGAAATTATTCCGTTAAAAAAAAATTTGATTAGTCGAACAGGAAAATTGTAATCATTACCAGCCCTAATTCTAATTCATATTAACGAGACCGGAAACAATTGTATTCTTTTCTGGAGGGTGAAATGTTGCTGTATTTTCATGAACGAAATGCACATTTTACATGCTGTTCCGTATTTGTACTAATTTTATAGATTTCTAGATGCAGCTTCTGGTGGCCCAATGTCCCAAAACTTCCCTCCTGACAATCTCCAGGTTTATTTTTAATCACTTCAGGAAATTTCAATCCGCCTTTTGTCAGCCCCCATTTCTTTCTCAGTAGGGGTTTCCTGTATAAGAAAATCTACATTAATGAAGCTTTTGGAGGATTAACATTCATGAACAGTGTGAAGCCTCCGGAATGAGTGAATGCCTGTGTAACAACATATAAAACGGCAAAAAGTTTCCCCCGGAGCACTCGCCAGCCGGCATGCAAAAAAACCTGTCTAACCCGCTAAGGTTAAAAGCAGAGGTTTAGATACACGTCTTCTGCAGAAAATGTGACAGCCGCACAGCCACGTCAAGGCACCTCTATATAGTGGAGGTTGGGCTTCCTCCTGACAAACCTGCACCCAATTTTATCTTTTGCCCCCATGTGCTCCAAGATGGAGACTCTCATAGTTTTAGAGTTGGGGCCGCACTATATAGAGGTGCCTTGACGCGGCTGTCGCATTTTCTGCAGAAGACGTGTATCTAAACCTCTGTTGTTAACCTTAGCGGTTAGACAGGTTTTTTTGCATGCCGGCTGGCGAGTGTGCCGGGAAACTTTTTACTGTTTGAAGCCCATTCCGTGTGCACCGCGCTGTAAAGCTGGTAACGAATTGATGAGTGCGTTTGTCATTTGTTTTGCCAATCCACAACATGGCCACCACAACAGCATTGTCCGTGTGACGGGTGCTCTACGGAGAGCCGTTCATCCTTCTGCGGGTACACTAGTATTTCTGGGGCATCTGTACCCACCTGCCTGGACTCTGATCTGTTCCAGGCGTGTTCTAATGTCTCCTATTCCGATCTCAAAGCTTTTAAAGGAGAACTATGACGTGAGTGAAAATCACTCACCTCATAGTTCTAGCCGACCTGTGACAATGAGACTGTCACAGGTCGGCTCAATAGATCGGGAGGTGAGCGAACACAACGTCGCTCGCTCACTTCTCGATCATCTCCCTGCAGAGATCCATGACTGTCGCTCACGGCTCCCTGCAGGGATTCCCCCGCTCCGATCCTCCAGCGCTGACTGGTGGAACGGACGGGGGCGGGTTACAGCCTCTAGATAGGCAAAGCCAGCTGTCAATCACACAGCTGGGTGGATCCAGACAGTAATGTCGGGGTTCCTCCCGTCTGCGGCGGTCTCAGTATACCGCGAGCTGTAGCTCCCTATATACTGAGCTTAGGGTGACGGGAGGACGCTAGTTTGTGTTTTCCCGTGACCCTGGGGAGAACTATGGGGAAAAGCCCTGACCCCCATAGTTCTCAAACAATCCAGTTCTTCGACAAAAGGGGGCACTTTGGTGTCTCTTTGTAGGTCAATCCGCAGGACCCCTCACCCTGCCGGTATCTGAACATTAATTTTGTGTAATAGCAAGAAAGAATGTTTTTTATATATTTTTTTCTTTTCAGGTTGAATGTATTGTGATGTGATACTACATTATGACCACCCATGAGATGGAGATGAGAAGCATAAGGAAATCAGCGCCATCTAGGGGCCATAATGCAGTATTACATCACAATACATTCAACCTGAATAGAAAATTATAATATTTTGTTTTTGCCGTTCACACAAAACGAATTGCGTTCCCACAAAAACAAGTGTCCCCTTTTTTTTTTTTTTTTTTTTTTTTTTTTTTTCTCGGGGTGAAGGCCCTGTTTATAAATGGATCCCTTGTTGTTGGAGGATCTCTAAGCAGTAGAAGATAGAAATGTGGAAGTAGTGGGTGACCTGCTTAGGCCTTGAGATCACACGCAGGTGCCATTAAGATAGTACAAAGCAGTTTGGGCAATTGGGCTTCTGTTTGTCACCCTTTTTTGTATATATTTCCACAGATATGTGAAATGTTTGGAGGGGAGAGGTGAGAAGTGGTAGAATAAAACAATGTATGACCTCCAGTTAAAGGAGAACTATGAGGGGGGGGGGGGGGGTGCTTTTCACTCGCCTCATAGTTCTAGCCAATGAGACCTGTCGCAGGTCGGCTCAGTAGATCGGGAGGTGAGGGAACACATACCGGCGCTCGCTCACTTCTAGATCTTGTCACGGTTCTCTGCCGTGACAGGGGAGGGGCTGGATTCCCCGCTCCCCGCTCCTATCCTCCAGCGCTGACTGGCGGAACGGACGGGGGAGGGGGCGGGTACAGCTGGCTCTGCCTCTAGATAGGAGGAGCCAGCTGTCACTCACGCAGCTGGACGGATCCCGTCGTCTATGTCGGGATCCGCTCCGGCTGCGACGTCTCGGTATACCGCGAGCTGTAGCTCCCTATATACTGAGCTTAGGGTGACGGGAGGACGCTAGTTTGTTTCCTCCCGTTACCCTGAGGAGAACTATGGGGAAAAGCCCTAACCTCATAGTTCTCTAAGTTTCCAGCTTCCCTCCATGTGTGTAACCCCAAAGTCCCCTCATTACCAGTTGTCGCTCTCGATGGTTTTGTGGCATGAAACTTTGTGTATCGTCTCATGGTGGCAGCCATCTTCAACATTCTACCTCAGTGCAGAATGGCACCGGCTATGGAGGACTACAAACCCCAGCAATACATTATACAGCAATGCAGAATAAAGCACAGGGCAGACTGCAGGCAATATTTCTAAAGTAGCTCTGGAGTTCAGGTGCAGTTTTGCTGCGCCATACTTGCACATAGTCTGTGCTTCTGCTCTGCTACGGGTTGCCGGCCTGATGTCTCGGACGGAGGGTCTCAGGAGGGGGCGATGTGCGGCCCTGATGTCTCGGGCGGAGGGTCTCAGGAGGGGGAGATGTGCGGTGCTGATGTCTCGGACGGAGGGTCTCAGGAGGGGGAGTTGTGCGGCCCTGATGTCTCGGACGGAGGGTCTCCGTAGGGGGAGATGTGCGGTGCTGATGTCTCGGAAGGGTATTTCTAAAGTAGCTCTGGAGTTCAGGTGCAGTTTTGCTGCGCCATACTTGCACATAGTCTGTGCTTCTGCTCTGCTACGGGTTGCCGGCCTGATGTCTCGGACGGAGGGTCTCAGGAGGGGGCGATGTGCGGCCGTGAGGTCTCGGGCGGAGGGTCTCAGGAGGGGGCGATGTGCGGCCCTGATGTCTCGGACGGAGGGTCTCAGGAGGGGGAGATGTGCGGTCCTGATGTCTCGGATGGAGGGTCTCAGGAGGGGGCGATGTGCGGCCCTGGTGTCTCGGACGGAGGGTCTCAGCAGGGGGAGATGTGCGGTCCTGGTGTCTCGGACGGAGGGTCTCAGGAGGGGGAGATGTG